TAATGGTTTTGGTTCCTAGGTAATTCATTCGTTTGTTTTCCACGTCCAAGTGCAAGACGTGTTTCTTGGAACTCTGAAAATAGTACGACAGCATTCCATGCATGCAGTTCAATGTCGACCCGTCCTTTGGTTTGGTAATACTTGAGGGCGCACACTGTATTTGATGGGGATTACACTAGACGGGTCCGTGACACACTGGGTGACGTGGACCGGATTCAAGGACCATGCCTTCCACAAATATAGCTTGTTTGCTTGTTTTTTGTCTGGGCTGCGGGCAGAGAGCCCATTACCCAAATCGCACAGGCAGCAGACGGTTGGACGTATCCTCTTTCGGCGGGAATTCGATACATTTGGTACGGAGGATCCATGTATGTGTAGAATGCTCCAACAACATGTGGCGGTAACGCGCAATATCCTACATACACAGACGATCTAGGGGGAAACCCCATTCTTTCATGATGGACTATAGAGAACGTTTGAAAGGACGAGGTTTGGGACAAGTGTACTTTGAGTTACACTTCTGAAACAAGTGTAACTCAATGTATAGAGGTTATGACGTCAATCGCCATGAGCGGTCATTTGTACAGCCGACTCTAACGCAAACGACGCGTACGAAAGTGCACTAGAGGACATAACACGTTCCCTTCGAGCGCATCTCATTTCTACATACATACAAATGTGTGCTAGCACTGTTTCGTTTGATTCTCATGCGCTTCTCATATATTTATTAATACTAGTATGTCAAAGGGCAAATTAATATTTCAGAACCCTGAATGACGAAGACAGCAGGTTTGATCCTCCCCAGTATCTTTCCGTCTCTCAGTTCATTCTTTTTTGTGTCGAAAATCGCAACGAAAAGAATACCTAATGATCAACATTCGCTTTAATAATATCCTAGACAATCTAGAAATATCACGGCAGCCAATGAATGAAAACGAAACATATGGTGATCAGTGGACACGACAGACGACCCATTACTGGTGACTCAAGGATGATAAAACCGCCATTCATTTGAACCAGAGCACAACCGTGCGCTGTAGTAAAATGTGTCATCTGATAAAGATCATGGATTAACCTCCCCCATGGGATTTGTATCTTAATTGGGCTGCAATTACAGCAAGCAATCAGGCACTGAAATAGTATTTTTCAGGCGCCTCGATTTCCTCCCTGTGTATTTTATGACGAGTCAATATCTGGCCTGTGCCCAACTTTTAATATGACAATCTGTATGCATCGTATTTTACGTTCCCTCGTCTCCAGGGAGATTGGCATCTCATACGTTCACCTACTTTCGATTTTTTTATTCCCATTGCAGGCGTCTCAAAGGTCTAAAAGACACGGAATATGAAACGTGAGTCACGGTGTCAATTCTGTGGAAACGAACCTTTGGCCGATATCCAAACAGGCACGCTGCCTCTGACACCACGGACACCCGGGCAAACAATCTGGGTTATGTCTTGAATTTTGCCCTGTAAGATATAAACGACCGCATGTCTATTTTCAAAGGTCCAGTCCTGAGGTCGAATTGTTGTCGGACACGTGGCGTTTTTCACATAGCCCAGGACAGGAAGCATACTCGTGTTAAACCAGGTCAAAACGGTTCCGTTCAGACAATTTCAGGATTGTAAGGCCTCTCATGGACAAATATTCTATTCTGACCTGAATAATTGTATTAAAGATATTCATGAAAAGGGGAGTAATATAATTTTCTCGCTCTGCCAGTACTCCCTTAACTAAACATTGCCCCCGAATCCAAATTTGTTTTGCCAGAATATTCTGTTGGCGTCGCTCCAGATTACACGTCACCGTGCGAAGGGAGCCGAAAACGGAACGGACTAGAAAGGGAAGGGAAGTCATAAATAACAATTTTGCGCACGTCGGCACTTCTACTGCTTAGAAACCACGAAGGATATTGCAGCACGACAACACACAACGTTGAGTAAAAGGTGACCATTCAACAAGTTACTGAACACATCTTCCTGAAGATAAGCCTTCTTTTCGCTTTGTGTCAGTCAGTGTACGCCCTTTGGAAGAGGGCATTGTCTTTTTTTTCAACAGAGAAGACCTTTCTTGGTATCTCCAAGCAGGTCTTGGAGTAGATGATTGTAACGTTTTCTGACTGCTGAGGTAGGCTTCTGTCTTAGAAGCCCGCAGCCGGCCAAAAAATGTTAAATCCCCTCCCAACATCTGCTTGGAGAATACCTATCACGAGTTGCCTCTATCCTCTGTTCCTAGAAAACCTCTCCCTTAATTATAGTATTACTAGTAATCATCTGTGACAGTCATACTGTAAACAAAGGATGTAGGTAATGTCTATTCAGTTACCTTGAGTGTAAAAGAGAATATCGTGTGCATGCATGAGCCCCCCCCCCCCAACCAAAAAATAAAAAAATTGCCAACATTGTACGGGCTTTAGATTTAATGTCGGGTTCGCCCGTGGCCCTTCCGGAGGGATTTACCCAAAGCACATCCCCAACACATGTCACAGCTGTTTCAAATCGTCCCCGTTCGCTGCCTCAGGGTCTAGGTCGTCGGGAGTACGGAACGCCCGCCCTTCAATGTCACAGCCCTGACTAATGCCATGTGTTTTTGTCAGGCATTAAAAATCCTCACGTCCGGCGTGTACAACTCTTTTTATTGTCAAGACAAGAGTGCCATTTCGTTATTTGGCACCCGTTTGTTGGAAGGGAAATTGAAGAGTGCACACCTGAGTTTTCACACTTTTTTTTGTTTTACGAGGTCAGAAAATGCTGAGTTATCTCAAATGACGGAATTACGTGCACACCAACGCGCACCTAGCCGTCCAACAAGTGCCTGTGGTATGGAGGGGGGGGGGTCATCAACTTAGGTGTTTGGATGGAGTCGCATAGACTTCATTGTGATATAAATTAAATGTATTTCCGAGTAACGATTGCATTTTGTGAGTCATTCTCCGCTGTCGGGTGATGGAAAAAGCACATGGTTTCCTGCACTATTCCTGGGTTGGTAATAGCTAACGCCTGGAGCCTCCACAAAACACCCGTGATGAGGCCCGCCCAGCCTTGAACTGCGTTTTCAAAACCATTTCATGTCAAACGTTATTAAGGCATGAACGTCGTGACGCAACAAAATGTAAGTAGGAGTAATAAAAAAATGAGAGCTTGAAGAGGATACAAGGACAAAAATGTGTTCCGCTACATGTACACGTACTGCATATAATTTTGAGCACTTATTTACAAAATAATCGTAGACATATTTTGCTAGTAACAATTTGCGTTTTCTGGATGCACCTTTTTGCTATCACCCTGACGGTTTCAACAATAACAAAACCGTAATATGCAAGCAAAAATCAAAGACTGCAAAGGCTGTTTCTCAAAAACATTGCTATCTGTCACATACGTTGGTTGAGTCAATACAAAACGCGTGATCACGAGAATAAACAATAAAAGTTGTGCAACCCAGACTTTGAGCCCTGTGTCCTAACAGAAGTTTGAACCTTGTTGACTCTGGTTGGCAATTTACAATAGCCACGCCACGCCCCTCGACCCGGTTGCGAGGACGGGACAGGGAGGCATGCAGGAATGCGTGACTGTGCGTACGTGATCCGAATTCGTGATGAGGCAGAACTTTCAAACAGGCACTGCGCTGTCATGCTTGCGGCATTCCCCCAAACGCTGCAACGACTACATTCTTTTGACGTCCAGTTGATGAAAGTACTTAATAGAGAAAAATAAGGAGGAATTTTAAGTTGGTCATGTACATTGATCTCAAACGTACTTGATAAAGGAATATCATACTTTTCGCAGGCACATAAATGGAATAAGGTAGACAGCTAAATCCCGTAAAGGGTAAAATATATATTATTGAGTAGCATATTGGCTATTTCAGTATAAAATGCCGCACAAAAATATCATAAGAATAGTTCTTAAGCATACAATGTTGGTACAATTCTGGTGATACTATGATAGTGATGTTCTTTCAGGCACGCGGTTATGCCATAGCGGACTGCCTTCACGCCGTTCTTCAGGCAGGGTTGTCTGATGCAGCGGGCGACCCTACCAAAAAAGCATGACGTAATGTTGATCCTCGGTCGATAAACGCACTCAGCCATCACGCAGGGGTTGACCTCTGGGACCCGGGGAAAGTACAAACGGGCGTCCCGTAGGCTGGACACGAAAATATGGCTCCTTTCCCCGGCCAGTACGGGCCTACACACATTTCCTCGGTCCGAATGCATCGGGTGACGCACCATTAGACGTGCCCTTCGCTTTCTGCCTGTATTCCTGTGGCAACTAGAGCATGAAAAATGGAGGCAGCCGTTAAATATGAGATAAGAACATTCAGCGCAAATTCAAGGAATGGTAGAACCTGAATAGAAATTCCTGACTTAGACAATTCTGATTTAGTATTACTCCTTCTATTATATGCCTATGTATTTAGTTTCCGTAGCAAACGACTGATTTACTATTTTTCAGGCACAAAAAAAATGAACAGATGAATATGAGATGCCGCACACGTAGATCAAATAAACCAAAACAGTCATCAAGATCAAGCAAAGACAGCGGCGACTGAGAAGGCTACGGTGTCAATGACACCACCAGCGTTTATGCCTTTCCTGGTGGTAAAAGAAAAAAAAATCTATAAACTTTTCCTCAGGCACTTTTCCGCTTCGATTCTGGTCAGCGTAAACATCGTCCCCCTGAACACAAACAGTAATTTGATACGCCCAGTGCGGAGAGTAATCGTCGTGTGGGAATTACGCTCGCTCCAGGGCCGCGAACACGGCCTGTCATGCTCGTGCCGGGGCCGCGGACTTGACTTGGCGCTTCAAAAACAGGGCACGTGATGCTGACAACCTGTCAGTATCCATCCGCGAAAACACACAACTTCGGCAACTTGAGCAGAAAATCCATAATTTCTCCACGTTATGCCGCACACGATATCACTAGAATAAAATGGTGCTGGGGTATTGAGCGAACGCGGTGGGGTTGATGAATGTTTTGAGGCGATGCGAGGGGACTCGTTCGTGTCTCTGTGCATTTGTATTTACACTGTGCGTGGTGAGGCCTGGCTCGCCGCTATCCGATGAATGGCAGTCAGTCCTGCGGGGCTTGCGACCTACCTTTATCGGTTTTGTCGGCGTTTTCCTCGTGGTTCCCACGTCCAACGCGGATCAGACTTTAGATCCACATCTCCAGGTTCTACGGGAACAGCTTGGCGGCCAGATTTGTCAGGAACAGCGGCGTATAACCCGGTTTTGCGCCCTTTCCCGGGACCTGCGGCCGGCGGGTGAGTTTGTTCGCCGTGTGCATTCTGTGCTATCCGGTGTGTCAAAGCCAGCCATGAATACTCCGTGGCGGCATGCCTTCAACTAGAAGTCTTTCTCTCTCCCGATTTCCCCCCATTATAGAATTATAACCAACCCTTATCATTACGCTTATCTGAGTCTGTTGTAGTGTACGTTTAACGCGTTTGATGATGACGTCTTCAAAGGTATTCGGCCGTAATTTTTTTTACGAGGAGTATGCTAAAAACGCACCGACGTTTGAAGTTCATGTCATTTGTTTTGGACGGCATGCGCTGATATCCTGCCTTAGATCCTCCTAGCCTAATCGATAAGGAACCTCTCTCTCCGCCTACATTTGATCACATCCACACACACTTTCACTTGTCCCTCTACCAGGCGTATATTATATTATAGAGCCATGATTTTACCGAGGACGGTGCCAGTATTTTTGGCCCAAGTTCAGCCCCCGGCGCCTGCCAAGGTCACCCTCTCTCAATATGCGATAATTTCTCCTGGGCTTTTATGTTGCGTTGCCCCTAGTCGATATCAGTCGTTTTAATTTGGCTATCTAAATTCATATCAGTGGATTCAATACCGCCGGTAGCCTGTAGTGTATAACGATATTTTGTCTTGGTGATGGCGGTAGTTAGTAGCCGGGTGGCAGAAAATATAAAAGAAGGGTACTAAAAGAAGCCATCATGCTGTTGCGAATGGGTCATTTTCATGATCAGTACATGATCTACTACTACTATCTTACGGGTAACTCTCCCACGTAACAGCAAATTATGTCTGAAATTGCTGTCTATTATTGTTAGGCTCTGGCCACCTGAGGTTATTGAAAATCCATAGGTGTCCTCTGTTTGGGTTCAATATTATAACCCACTGATTTCTCCAAGACTGTAATGTTAGGATATTTAGATTTTTGGTTGTTAGTGACAGTATATTAGTGTACTGTCATTGTAATTGATTGTGTTTGTTAAAATGCATATGTAAATGTTTTGTGGAAAGGTGTGCATTTTTGCTGAATATCTTTTTGAATTGCTAACAATTTATGACTGTTTATTCTCCTCATAACAACAAGCTGTTTTATTTGGAGCTGTGAGTGTACATTTGATGGACTCACTCAATGGCAATCATTTCGGTGTGTTGTTAGTTTCCTCCGCGCCAGTTCAATGTCTCGAACACCTTAGATTCTGTAAATGCTGTTGACATCTGGAATAGTTCTCACTAACCAGAAACAGGTAACGTGATTTATGTTATACTGGCTGGGGGGTTTTGCTGACTTGTTTTTGGCAGTGGAAATGAACTTGCTGCCAAGTAGTTGTACATGGCAAATAATGTCTCAGTTATTATTATTATATCAATGTTTTATCTAATGACATTGAGATATAATAGCGTTTAATTTTTTTAGCTTCAACATAGTTGTGGTTTTTGTGTGAAAAATAGAAATCTTTTTATTTGGTTGCTTTTTACAATGTCATTTGAGGAACCACCCCAAAGACGTTTTTGGCAGAGAATTTTACTGCCACTTTACTGTAAATGTACCCATGTTAGCTACTTGATATGGAGTCCCGACTTCCATCTGGGTACATAAAATGGACGATACGATATTGGGAATGCCGTAAGTGAAACATTTTATTGCGCTGCAGCTGTTCAGGAGTTCCTTTGATACATTTTGTCGTAAATTCTCGGTGTAAATTTCCAGGAAGCCAAATGGGTTTTGGCGTATATAAACAGGCAGGGATTAGATCTAGGATAATGTGATGTTTTTATGCAGAAGTAAATGTCAAGGTAAGCTTCTGAATATTTTCGGAAATATTTTTGTGGCAGTTTTTTATGAAGCACGGAGCAAGGAATTTTGCCATGCAGTCGTTGCATATGTTCAAGGAAAAATGCATTTTATTTACCAAGGACATTACTAGTATTTGATCCAGCTGTACAAAACATATTAAGGTCAAGGTATGGTATTTGATGTATAATGGCATGATAGGATTCCTATCATGCTAAGGAAGCACATGGTACAGTTTGAATTTGCAAAGTGGCAAATTTAGGTGTTCGGGTTGGTGCTGTATCTAAGAAATTGAATGCAGATGTAAATATGCTGCTACCTTTACTGTACCCCAGAGGACTTGCCAAAATCAACTTAAAAATAGCTTCATAATTTGTCAATGCCAGAACAGATAACCCGTGCTGGGGTTGCTTGCTTCCTGTTTATCGGATGGCAAGCAAAAGATACGTACGGTAAACGGTGCGGTAGGCGGCTGAGTGTCTGGTTCCTTTTTTTGGATTTAATCATGGTGATAAAACTGGCTTGCCTACAAAACTGGCATAAATTATGACACATTGTCACTTCACTAGGTGAAACATACAGATTCAGTGAAACTGATTGTGATTATCAGGTGAATGATCTGTTTTGGATGTGTTCTGTTTTTATATTTTTGAGAGATAAGGCTTATGTTATGCTGTTGGACATTGTTTTCATAGACTGTTATTTATATGCAGAAAGCCCGTGGGCCCTGCCGTACTGACCGGAGCTAAAAACTGTTGGTGAAAGGTATTTTGTTGACTGTTGCGCTTTATCCCTGAAGCACCCCAGCTGCCGCCCGAATCTGGGCCAGGGAGCGGCGTTCCCTCTTCTGGCCGCCCTTCCCCGAACGTTCGCATCTGGTTCAGTTCATATCGGCTGTTCTGGACATGTCAGCAAGACCAGGGGCCGTCATGCGAGGCCCCTTCCTTTTCAAAACGTGCCTACTTCACTGATACAAGTGTTATCCATCCGTCCAAATATGGTGTCTGTTAGGACTGTCCTTGGGCCTACAGCCAAGGGGCCTACCTTGGTCCGTCTTGCCTGTCTGCCCCACAGTCCGAGACCCTGGGTTCTAGCTTCTAGGGACACCTGTCTATCCCCAGTAGGGTGCTGCTAGGTGCCTGCCCTCGTGCTAAATGTGGTGGTCTCAAACCACTGAAATTTATAGACGCACTCGCGCACAAATGCATTTATGTTGTAGATTATGGCTGGCCATTGCAAAGGTTACGCTGTCTTATACTGCTGTATGAATGATATTTGTATTTCCATTTTGAAGTTGCGTGTCCTTGGATGACTTGCAAGTGAAAGAAAGACTGCATATTCAAGGATCCCAGCACGGATTTACGCACTTGGTTATTGTCGCAATGTGGAATGCATGAGATGTCATGGCTCTGTACGTCCCAATACCCTGACTAGTCATATTCAAAAGCTGAGATTTGCGTCTCCCGTAATCCGTGAAACGTGACATTTATATCACATGCCTGGTGTTCCCCTGTCCTTTGTTCACTGGGGTGGCAAATTTCATGTGCTATTACCTTACACTTGCATGTGATTTTGCCATTAATTATGAATGAGTCGGGTCTGTGAAGTCTGTCTACAGAAGGTATTGTTAAAGGTATATCATAAACGCAGTAAAATGGTTTATTCGTGCTATGAATTCTTTGATATATGCACGGCCTGCTGCGCCCAGAATTGTTGAGTGTCACGTACACGGACAACTTCAGATTATTCCTCACGTAGACCATTTCCTGTTGTTGCTGCAGGTGAAGGACCCTTTTACCTCGGCGCCCTTTGCCTGTTCTTTGATAGCACATTGTTTTCTTGTCTTTTTGCAGTAAGTGTGAGGCGTTCCTTCCTTAAAAGCAACCCGAGCAGCACCATCCATTGCGAGCTGAACCGTGTATATTGGATTTGGCTCCGTGCCAAATAGCGCAGTGGCCATTTTTCTGCTGATGAGAATCGATCTCCACAACCAACAACTTTATTTATAAGGCGTGCCAGTACCCACAAGCTGTATAACATCTCCAATATCCTTCCTCACTGTTCAATCATTGGTTGCTGGGCACTCAAATATTGCCTGATGGCAGCCATGCGAGAGGGTGGATGGGTTCGCTTGGGGAATGAAGACGTGTGTATTACAGTGCCCTCCCGTATGACCCCCGAGGAATGAACACACACGGTTTTTCACCTGACGTCATTGTTGCCTGATTTGTAGTCTGATTTGTATGGAAGGTGCGCCCGTTTTCCCCTGAGGGGGAAAAATAAGAATGATTGATCTATGAGAACGTTAAAATGTTTTCTTGTATTGCTGCCAGCACTGTGTTTTCTAGGCTAAGATATTGCCATGTTTTTGGAGCAGTGACATCTTGGTAGAAACAAAAGACACCTGTCGATGTGGCAGAGAACCTGACTTAATGTCTTATCAGAGAAGTCTTCCTCGCTTTAAGAAAAAGGAAATTGAAAGGTAGATGATTAAAGACTGTCAGTAAATCTTGTGTGATTATCAAAATCTCGTGTAATTACATATCGACCTATCTTTACTCCGAGTCAGACAGATGCAAAGAAGTATGGTGACACACCAGCTATGAAGCAGTTTTTTAAAGCCGGGTAACAAGAGGATAGAATAGGGATGTATCAGTAATTGTAACATACATTGTGTTTTGTTAATTGTCAGTACTATTCCAGTAAGTCCACTTCCTAATCAGCCTCAAGGCACAACCTCAAGCTGTTGTGTTGTGTCACAAAAATTGTCCTTCTGTATGTCTTGGTGGTAATCTAAAGTAGAGGTGGGAGGGAATGTCTTCTCTGATAAGAGGCACAAACCACAAACAACCTTTTCTCCTGGAATCTGCTGGAAGATTAAGAGGGCAGCCCATCCCATATTTCATGTCCCCCTTTGTGTGCAGGTCAGTAAATTTCCCCCTCTGGTGTCACCCTGTACCAAAGCTTCACAGACAGATTGAATTGTCTGCTTCTAACGTTCCCACAGGAAATCAGCTTTGTTTGAGATTTAATGTTCCATTTTATAGCTCTCCGGCTTGTGTGTACGTGTGTGAACTTCCAGCGATAGTACATATACTTGTCTACAATGCGGAGGACCTTTTACTATGGGTAGAGGAGAAAAATGGCCTGAAGCCAGTCTGACTGGGGTGGTGGTGTGCCAACTGTACGCCCTCTGTGACCTCCACAGCTCAA